GACCGGCGCGACGGGGTCGGGTGGGGGTTCTGTCCGGATGTGGTGAAAGCCGGGGCTGCTTGGGCTCGGAGAGAACTGCAGAAAGCGGGGGAAACGGCGCCCCCGGCTCCGGCTAGCTTCTACCATGGGATGCTGCACTGGGCGCTGTACGTTGATCTTCCTTTGCACGCTGCAGCTGGTGAGTAGCAAGACTGCCCTTCGCCAAGGTGTCGTTGACTTGTGATCGCCCCTTCCCGCGAGCTGCGAGTGTTGCGGGGAAAGAAACCTTTTCACTTCTGTCCCCCTCCCCCAGCTGTGAACCGAATCCAAGCCGGTCGCTGTTTGGGACTGAGTTGTCCCGGCGTAATGCAGCTGAAGGACTCGCCTGCCTCGCGCTCCCTGGGCGTTCGAAACTCTTCGCCGGGGGCTCCTCTGCGACTGGCTGACAATAATAGGAACCTTCCCGATTGCACGGAAAGCGGTGTGTGCGCGTGGTGTGTGTGTGTGTGTAGGTGCACGGGCGATTGCGGTCATTGCCTTCTAAGTATTACCAACTTCTCTGAGGCAGAAGGATGTCCCGAATGCGAGGCAGCGGGCAAGCCCCGTCTGCTACCCCCTTCTACCTTTCGGTAGCATCTTCACTTGGCTACCGTACAACCCATCCAGGCTTCAGCTTACTGCTGCTCAGCTGCAGAGATACTCCAGCTCAAGAGAGGCAAAGTCTCAAGTGTTCTGCTGGTCTAAGGACTGCATTCTTGGAAGAGAGGGAGATGTCTGTGGATCAGCTGCCATTGTCAGTAGATGCCCAACTGCTTTCCTCCTCTACCCCTCCCTAGGTCTGGATGTGTTATTATGTGGAGGAAAAGCTCACTGATAGCAAATGATGTTCCCAGGAAAACCACTGCATATTGCCCATGAAAGCAAGTTGATCCTTTTCAGGCTGAACATATGTCCAAGTACTCATTGTGATCTATTGGAAAACATGCATTGATATGGTACAAGGCATATTTTTGTTCTTTTTGTTTGGATGATGATGCTGACCTCCAGCTGGAAGACAGAGCCCTGGGTAATTCCCCCCTCCCCTCCCTCATCTCTTGTGTATTACTGAATTGTCCTGTGCCTGCCAGTCCTCTGGATTTTGATTTTCATCCAAATTTAATTTGAAGGCAGTCTAAAGTATTGATGTGAAGAAGAGGTTTCTTCCTCCTTTCACAATGTGCTTAAATCAGTTATTTAAATATTGCACATTTCTATGGAAATCTCATTCATTTTATTGTCTCAACCTGACAGCTGGGTTTTAGAAGCATTTTGTGATCAATATGAGGTCAAGATGTTCAAGCAGCACTCCAGGATCTGATGATGAGTGAAATGAATGCCCCTTTTCTTTTTTTAAAAAAGTCCCTTTGAGACTGCAAGGTGATATCCCAACTCTGCTCATAGTTGAGATATTACCTTCCAAAGTTGTGTATTGTACTATCAAGAACAGAACTGTGATTACAACATATCTATTGGAGTGTTACAGTTTATTTTCCAATTATTTAAGTGTTTTGAGGAGTCTCTTTGTTTCGTTCATATTTATAAAAGTAATAAAACCAAAGAAAAAGAAGGACATACTCCTTGTTACTCCATGAAGAGTAGTGGAAGGATAGGGATGTTTTGCTCTGAGTAAATGTTCATTCTAACTACATAGCTAAATGCTTGGTTTATAGTGCTGTTTGGTTTCCACTGAATAAATGGGGCAGGGGTTTATGTGGCAAATTTGCTCATCTCTAAAAATCGGTGGATTTTCATTGCTTATTTCAATTGAGATAAAAATTCCAGTGAAAATAATTCTTAGAAGATATAAATCCCTATCATACCAAAAGGCTCTGATTCTTAAGTTGGTTGTCTGGTTTTAGTTCTTTTAGAATATTACTGACATTTCTATTACTTCATTTCATAGTTTATGAGCATTTTATGGTTTGCTTATTAGTTGGACACAGAGGAATGCAATGTTCAAATATTAGGTTTAGAATGTATGCATTTAGAGTTAATTTGAAAAATAAAGAAGCAGGATATTTCAGAAAGCTCCTTGTGGGAAACTTCTAACCTAATACTGCCCTGTCATCTTGAAAATCTCTGGATCTTCAGATCTATACCTCTGGAGGGTACCCAGGTTGGAAAAAGCCTTATGGAATGTTCACATCATGCATGGAATTGGAAGTGGTGTTTGCAGTGATTGCCCATGTCCTCTCTTGGTTGATCCTTATACACTAGTATACAGTTAAGCAACCTATCAAATACCATATCTGGCCCTCAGTCTCACTTCTTGTGGTCCTCAGTCTCATTTCTAAACTTTATGAAAGAGCATCAGCCTGCTAATAAAAGCTATCTGGCTATTTCCTGTGGCCTGCAACTTGGGAGAGAGAAAAGAGGGTGACGGGGGAAAGGGGGGAAGGAACCTGATGTGCGAGGCTAACTTT